ACCAGGTGGGGTTGAACCCTAGACCTTCCCCTGGTGACCTATGGAGCATTACCACTATGCTACAGACCCATAGGTCTTTTAAAGTAATAAATTTAAAAAAATCTAAAATAGGTAATATTATACAATAATAACATAATAAATCAACTTTCTTATAGTGAGATAGTTAGTAAATAACTAGATTATATAGTAATACAATGGTTTTAGTTTAAAGAATATATAAATTCATAAATAATTAAACAGATATTTTATTTTTGAAAATAGAACAATTTTGTATTAATCTCAATATATTGAATTTTAAATTATTGTTTTTTAAATACAATATATTAGTATACAATTTTATTAGACAAAAATATTTAAAATAAACCATTTATTTTTTTAATTGTTAAATTAAACTTATATATAATTTTTTTTTGAAAAAAAACACATTATATTATTATAATATATGATGAAAAATAGGATTATCTAATATGAATTTATTGTTTATCATAAAATCAAACTTTAAACTTATTAAATTGTATATTTTTTTAATTTATATTGGTATAATAAGATTATTGAAATAAGTTTTTTATAAATTCTTATTAGTCTTATTATTTTAATATAATATAAACTGTTTTTTTTTAAAAAAATCTTTTTATTAATAAAATTATTTTTATTTCCAACATTATAATTTTTTTTATTATACTGTATGTAGTATACTGTGCCTGTAAGTAGTTTCCACAATTTTTGATTTTCGAATTTGGCGTAATAAAGTCACAAGATCTACAGTTCTTATGATCCAATCAAAATGTTTGCTGTACATGTGATGCGCAGTGTAACGCAAGTGAGGTGAGGCGAACCCCTCTGTCTTTTATTTTGGAAAAAAAGTCAGTTGAGCTTCGTAGCGTTTAAGATCATTTATGTATGCATATTCCATACACATCATTCGTGCAACTTTGTGAAAGCATGCTACATATAAATATCGATTCATGCAAACCACAAACCAGATAACCCATTCATTCATTAACACTTTGAATAAGACAATTTGGGATGTCCCAGGAGTTATTTAAATACCGTACATACAGGATTAATTGTTTGCTATATTATTATATACTGTATTATAAATATTTAGCTTATTCAGGTCATGTTTTTCAAGAACTTTAGAATGTCTCTATCAAAAAATTTACAATGGGTCGAAGGACTTGAAGACTCTGTAAATGAATTGGCATTAACGAAATTCAACCGTAACGACTTCAAGAGTATAGAGACTATGAAAATTAGTGGCCTTCGGAAAATAGATAAAGTTTTTTCAAAGAGTATCAAAAAAGTTGTGGCGATAAAAAAAGTAAAGATTTTTGATGAGAATTCGGCAAAAATATTTCTTAACAAGGTAGTTGTTTTGTTTTATTCTATGCTTATAATTACAGTGTTGATAAAAAATGCATAAAGCAAAGTATATTTTTAAAATAGCTTAAATTGCATCAAGATGTTGGTTTTAATAATAATAATTTACGACTATATGGAGTTTCTAACAAAGGTAACATATGTATTATGACTTTAAATCGTATATGTATAAGTACTTTATAAGAAAACCGCAACTAATAGATCGTTATAAGAACCGCAAAAAACCGAATACCTCATGATTATTGAATACGCAGATGTAACTTTGCGACAATACCTCGAAAAGAACTTTCGATTATTAAACTGGGATAACAAATTGCGCATGGCTAAACAAATTACCAGCGCGATTCTGTATTTGCACGAAAAAGACATTATTCCTAAAGATTTGGTTTGTAATCAGTTCAAGTTGTTATTGGTATGATAAATGTCTTTTTGAACTAATATCGTACATTTTATTTTTTTTAGCACCCAGGGATTATTCTTATCAAAGGTGGAAATATAAAACTTGACAATTTTGGGTTGTTAAAGAAACCAATAGATACATCGAATACTCGAACTGCTAATGTATTCGTTGGAGATATACCATATATTGATCCAGAATGTTTTAAGAAAATAAATAGAAAATCTTACAAAAGAACTAAGAAGTCAGACATTTACAGCTTAGGTGTTTTATTCTGGGAGCTTACAAGTGGATATCCACCTTTTAGTTCAAATGGATACAACATATCGTTAATTCATCAAATACTAGAGGGTCTTAGAGAAACGAGCATGATAGGAACACCTCAAGAATATATCGATATTTATGAAGGTTAGCTTATTATGAAGTAAAAAACGGTTTATTTGTATTTTGCTAATTATTACGGTTTTGTTTGTTTTTTTTTTATTAGCCTGTTGGGACGGAAATCCAGACAAGAGGCCTGAAGTATTTCAAGTTAAAGAATTTCTTGACTCATTAGATACGAAAATTTATTCATATGCGTTTAATATTCCTATTTGTAGTATTAAAAATCTCATGAAAGAGAATAATGTCGAATTTATACAAATTCACTTTCGATCAAATTTGTAAAGGACTAATAATATCAAAGTTGACGACATATATTAATAAGTTCAATGAGAGCAAACAAACGACTTCAGAACAGATATTTAATTTATTAATTAATGGCCAGGAAATCTTACAAAACGTTGTAACTCTCGGAATTTTTTATCGTTACGGAATTGGGACCACTAAAGATATCGAGAAAGCATTTCAATGCTTCTTGCAATCTGCTGATGATAATCATCTTGGTCAGTATTTTCTCGCGCATTGTTATCAAGAAGGAGTTGGAATTACTCGAAACTACAAGAAAGCATTTCAGTGGTTCTTAATATCAGCCGAAAGTGGAAACACGGCTGCACAAAATGATCTTGGATTTTATTGTTACTATCAGGGAAGTGGAACCAGTCAAGACAGCAAGAAAGCATTTCAGTGGTTCCTGGTGTCTGCTAAAGATGGAAATCATCTGGCGCAATATAATCTTGGATATTGTTATCAGAAGGGAATTGGAACTTATCAAGATGATGATAAAGCATTTCAGTGGTATCTGAAATCTGCGGAAGGCGGAAATCCCAATGGGCAATATAATCTTGGACATTGTTACCAGATAGGAAATGGAACTATTATAGACTACGAAAAAGCATTTCAGTATTATCTGAAATCTGCTGAAGGAGGATGTCGTAATGGACAAATAAGTCTTGGACTTTGCTATCGCGATGGAATTGGAACAATGAAAAACGAGGAGAAAGCAAAATATTGGTTTAATAAATCTAAAATGTTCTAAACTGTGTGCATGACATTTATATATATATTTTTTGTACGTTTTTATTGTAAAGAATTTAAATAAAAATACCAGAAAGAAAGTTTCGATTAATTTAAATAATTCATAATGTAATCAAACACCAATAACTATTATCTATCTTAATCTCTCTAGTTGAATATAAAGCACCTAATAGCACGGTCGTGCTATAAATTTTATCGAGCCTAGTTGCAAAAAAAAAAAGAAATTAATACAGATGCCTATACTAGTCATTAACTAAAAGGAAATTGAAATTTTAGTAAATCTGGCGAAAGTAAAAAAAAAAATAACTTATGAACCAAATATAGCAGCAGGGAAAAGTATAGCACATAAATTTATTTTTAATGAATAATTCCATTAGATAATGTTAGATATATACTAATTTGGTATAGAATATGTAATCAAGTGAACACATTTAGTTGTACAGTTTTTTATACTTTGTAATGATTTGATATTATTATATAATTTTAAGAAATTACATAAAGGACAAATTGATAATTATTTAATATTATTTTTTGAGTTTTTATTATTATTCAACCTTTTATTTAAGCTAAAGTATGGTTATTATTTCTTTATTAATTAATTATTGAGAAAAATTACTGTATATCTAGATTTTAAATTAGTTATCCAAAAAAAGATTTACTTAATGTATTACAGTAAAGATCTTATTAAAATATCCTGTTGTTTTAAATAAAAAGGTATAACCATTATTATTATTATCATCATCATTATTATTTCCTGTTGTAGAAATATGTAATTTGCTTTTTAAAAAAACTTTTATACTGTACATTAATATTTCAGTCTGATTGTTAGAATGTTTTAAAAAATTAATTGAAATCTATTAAGATGACTAAAAGCTTATTTCATGCAAATAAAATAAGGTTTTTCAAAAATATAATTATTGATAATTATAAATTCTTACACATTCTTTGATTTAATAAAATTAAGATTATAATTTTAAATATAGCGCATAAAAATAATAAAAATACAAAAAATATGCATATAAATTTAAGAACATTAAACTTATTTGACATATAAAACAAACCATTCAAATGGAAACATGCTAAATAATATTACAACACTCACGATATTACAAATAATATACATTTAAACAATCAATTTCATACATCAATGTCATATTTGAAAGTAAATTTTTTTATTATAATCTAAAAAAAATATAATTCATGACATATTGTTTAAAATAAATTGAAATAATTTTAAAATATTTTAAAATCAACTTATTGCTCTCATATGAAAACATAATTAAATATCATTTAATAACATTTTTAGATATCATTCTGGATTTGACTTATATTTCGATTGCATATGATTTTTTAAAATATGTATCAAAAATATTTTAACTTCGATGAATGGTTTGCAATACGAGGCAAGAATAACAAACTCGTTTTATAGGATTTGCAAAAATTTGTGAATAGAATAATATGAACATACGGTATATCAATATTATTTGAATTTGGGGGTATTTTTTGTATATAAAAAAGATGATAAAAAATTCCTAAATATTTAATACGATTTTAAGAGTCATTGATTTGGTTACTTCCTAAATTAATAATTTTAATAGTCATTACCTTTTAAATTAATAATGCAATTACGTCTTGATGAATGACGAATCATTACGTATTATACAGTAATCGTCGTATTATCTAAGAAAATTTAACCACGTAGATCCAAGCTCACAGATCTATTAAAATTATATCTTGCTTGAAATTCAAAATGATATTTTACGCAGATTTGGGTGAAGATTTTAAACAACTTTATGAAAATAGAGAAAACTGTGATGTGAAAATTTATGCTGGTGAAAAGCTTGAGGAACTTCAAACCCATTCGCTATTATTGCGAGCTCGTTCTCCCTATTTCAGCGGTGCGCTTTCACAAGAATGTACAAAGGATCAACATGGTTACTTTATCTTCAGATTTCCTACTATTTCCGCTTCGACATTTGAAGTGATTCTTAGGTAAAGCAATTATTTATTATAGATATTGAAATCTTTATAAAGCTCTATAATCTTACTCAAAATATATTATGTACTGTATAGGTACATTTGTTGCGGGATTATAGACCTTCATGAACTACATGGTACTGAGATTTTAAAGGTTTTGATCCCCGCAGATGAACTCGGACTTCAAAAATTTATCATTTATGTCCAGAAATTTTTAATCGAGAATCGTGTTGATTTTTTACGAGAGGATCCCGGGAGAATTTTGCAGACTATAACTTATCATGAAGCATTTGATGACCTTAAAAAATTTTGCTTAGACACCATCCTCGCCGATCCGGTCATCATATTTGGTTCAAATAAATTCCTCACACTAGAAGAAAACGTATTATTACCGATTTTTAAATGTGACGAGTTGTCGATGGACGAAATCGAAATCTGGAATTGCGTTATTAAGTGGGGAATAGCACAAGATCTAGAACTCAAAGACAATGTTGAAAACTATAAAGATCAAGATTTCAAAGCTTTAGAAGAAAAGATACAGAATTTTATTCCTCTAATTCGGTTTCATGAAATTTCCATGGGGGATTTTTACTTTAGGGTCTGGCCCTTTGAAAAGATTCTACCTGAAGAACTTGTGGATGATATTCTCCGTTGTTATATGGTTTCCAAAGCCACACCACGCTTTAATGCATATCCTTCGAGGATTTCTTTCTCTTCTACCTTAATTGATAAAAAGCATCTTATTTTATTTGCAAGCTGGATTGATCAAAAATCTGAAAATTATACAAAGTTTGAACAAATTCCTTACGAGTTTCCAGTTATTTACCGGGCCAGCAGAGATGGGAATAAATCCATCATGTTTCGTCAGAAATGTAACAATCAAGGAGCTACTATTGTGGTAGGCAAGATTCAAAATTCAGAAATGTTTGTGGGCGGGTATAATCCACTAAGTTGGACCGGCAATGATCAATACAGCTGTTCATCCGAAAGCTTCATATTTTCGATTAACAACGATGATAATTGTTTGGGCCGTCTAAATGAATGCGACAATTATAACAACTGTTCACTCGATTACGACGATTATTGCGACGATTATGACAGTTATTTTAATTATAATAATGAAACTTACGAATACGATCAAAGTAATTGGGCAATTTACGATCACACATCTTATGGTCCAACATTTGGGAAAGGCCATGATTTATGTTGTCGTTTCGATAGTTGGATTAGTAACCCAGACACTTATTGGTCCATTGGCCTCCCAAATCAATATTGTGTATCCGATTGGGAGGTTTTTAAGGTGGTAAAGAAGGGTTAATTCTGTGTTTTCGTGAAAATAAGAATCGTAATTTGTCTGAATCCTTTCTTTGAAATTTGTATTGTTTTTTAAAAACTATTTGTCTTATACATCTGTCGATACAAACTTTTCGGAAAAAATAAAAGCCTAGCTAATATGACACTGTATTGCGTGACGAAATTAAAAGCTACGATTAACGAGAAAAGAAAGTATGATCAAGGTCTATACATATTTCATGCTCTAAAAATTTGCTTTGTTGTTATTGTAATTTGCGTAAAAATCTTGTTGAAAAGACTTTGTTAGGAAACATAACGATAGAGAAAAAATAGATTGTAAAATATATATATATTTTTACCGAACAAAAACTTAATTAATGCGAAAGCTATTATTTTTATATCCCAAGTATTTTGTAAAAAGAGTCAATTGGCTAAATGGGTTTCTCGATGCTTTGATAAAAAAATTTTAGTCTCTTATACATGTTTTGTTATTAAATGTAACAATAGAAATTAAAAGAAAACTGTCGAACCTAATGGAAACTCGCGAGTATGAAAATAATACTATTATAATTACTCGATTTATCTTCACGCTTCTTGTATTATGTACCATAATATATACAGTATTTTTTACATAAAAAAAAGATATTCTGTAATTGGTCACGAACAATAGCTTTTTATATTTGCAACTAAAGACAGGTTGTATTTTACTGACTTCATGAAATGCAATTTACAATCTACTGTATTAAGCTATTTCGCTGACTTATCTAATATGTCACTCGATGACAATGCACCTATTGAAGGGTTTTTTATATTAACCAAGCCCATCTCGCGATCTATCAAATTTGAAGTAAATCGGATAACTCTTTGAATCGTTCTACTAATAAACCACAATACCTTCTCTTTACACCATTGGTTCCGAAATATGATGAGATAATAATCTAGAAAAATTTTATGCTACTCTTTACTCTATTTTCATGAAAAGTTTAAGAATAAACAAACACAGAATAATTATTATACTTCAAAGCATAAAATCTTTGCTTTGGTGTTCGACGGTATTCCTAAGTAAGTTATTATTATCATAAGTGCCAATTTCTTTATGAAATTAAAAGTTTACTTTCCAATTTTCAAAGAGCACATTACGTTTATAAACCTTCGTGAAATATTTAGACGATTTGAGGTGAATTAAAATTTTAAAAGCTTGACAATCATATTCAAAGACAAGTAATCCTGTAAAAATTTTATGTACTGTAAGAAAACGGTTAGATAGCACAGGTGATGTCGCGTTCCAATTATGGCATAATTTGATTTATGATCTTTAGGATATTAATTAGAATATAAGGATAATATTGGAATATATGAACATATAAAAAGACAAGCAGACAAACAAACAAATAAATAGTTTTAAAACTTTACCTGTTCTATATACATTCACAGTTCTCTTTCGACGTTACACATCGGCGATCGCGACGTAGAAATAGACTCACCGATTACACCCCAACAATACAGTATATTACAGTCTGTCATGTAACATGAGAGTTAAATTGATGCATTGTTTATTAAATGAAAATTAGAGTAACGGTTATAAGTTATCATGGCTCGGTGATTATATAATTAAACCGTGACAAAATAATCGGTAATAGCTAGAGAACTCTTTATTTACAAAAGTAAACAAGACGGTTGAGTTTTCTTTACCATCATAATTTGATATTCTATGTCAGTGATTCAAAATGACATTTTATTCGGAAGTTATCGAAGATTTCAAGCAACTTTACGAGGATAGAGAAAATGCCGACGTGATAATTTATGCTGGCGAGGAGCTCAAGGAATTTCGCGCTCATTCTCAAGTACTACTCACCCGTTCTTCTTATTTCCGTGGAGGAATACTTTCGCATGAGTGTGCAAATAATCAAGGTGTTTATTTTGTTTTTAAAAAGCCTAATATCACCTCTTTTACATTCGAAGTGATTCTTAAGTATGTTGATTATTTATTGTACTGTATGTGGTGATTTTTTAAAGAACACAATAATTTTCACTTCTTGATTCGTTCAAAAATAACAAAAAAAAAATTTTTTTTTGTTTTTTTTTTGATAATTTATAGGTTTATCTACATTGGGTTTATAAACCGGAATGAACTGAATAATGCGAATGTTTCCGAAATTTTGGTTGCTGCAGATGAACTAGGAGTTCATAAACTTATTATCTACTTACGAAAATTTCTAATTACGCATACCGATAATTTCTTAAGAAGGGATCCTGCAAAGATATTATATGCTATAGCCAACCACGAGATCTTTGAAGACCTTAAAGAAATTTGCATGGAGCCCATTTTTACCGATCCAAACATCTTATTTGGTTCTGAAAATTTTCTAACATTAAAAGAAAGCACATGGATGTTGATTCTTAAATCTGAAAAATTTATAGTAGATGAAATTCAAATTTGGGATTATGTAATTAAATGGGGAGTTGCTCAAGACCCTAAAATCAAAAACAATGTTAAAGATTTCGAGGATCAAGATTTTGAAACTTTGGGGAAAAGATTGTGTAATTTCATTCCTTTAATTCGATTTCACGAGATTTCCATGGCCAATTTTTATCTCAGAGTGTGGCCATTCGAGAGGATTCTTTCTAAAGAGCTTGTGGATGATATGCTTCATTATTATATGGTTTCTGATGCCAAGCCGCGTTTTGACCTATCTTCTCCAAGGATTTCTTCCATATTATTAAAGAAAGGACATGTTATTTTATTTGCAAACTGGATAGATGCGACCGATGAGTACGAAAGACTTTATCAAGTCCCTTACAGTTTACGACTCCTTTACAGAGCTAGTCGGGATGGGAATAAAGCTAACAATTTTCACCAAAAATGTGACAATCAAGGTGCTACTATTGTGGTGGCCAAGGTTAAAGATTCTGAGACGTTGGTGGGCGGATACAATCCATTAAATTGGAGTCGTGATGGATATAAATACACGACTAAAAGCTTTATATATTCAATTAAAGATCTTAATAGTAATAGCGGTTTTACATTAGGCCGCCTCGAAGGGTATCCCAGTAATGCGATCTATAATAATAGCGCATTAGGTCCTGCATTTGGAAAAGACGAAGATTTATGTTGTCGTTTTAAAAGTTGGTCTAGCAATCAAGGTACTAGTCGTAATAGCTACGAAAATATACATCTTCCAAATAAATTTGATGTATCTGACTGGGAAGTTTTCAAAGTAGCGATGAAAAATTAATGCGGCAAATTAATTATCAATAAAAATTTGTAATTTTCCTTTTGTCAATTAAAATTTTTAACAAAATGTCCTTGTATCAGAGCGTCCAGTTTTATCTCTTAACGTGTTATATATTGAATGTGTTTTATTTAATTAAAGCGAACTCGAAAAGCTTCTCGAGTCCACCAAGAAAGTGCCACTTGTGACAAAGCATTTCATTAGGAGGAACCCTTTTGGTGTGACGAACATATTCCTATGTACTGTATGTCAAATAGAAATACTGTAATATTTGTAATGTGTCTTTAATCTCTTTAATAAATATATACAGTAACGGAAAAGTTATTAAAATTATTTTTTTGTTATTATACTGTATTATTACAGTATTAATATCAAATTAATTTAAAATAAATTTATGATTGCTATAATACAAAAAAAATTTTTTTGTCAATATTTGTAAAATTAAATATTAATTTCATTAAAAAATTTTTATTAATAATTTGAGTTTTTATTAACATCAGTTATTAGCAGTCTTCTCATATTGTAACTTAATAAATATTTTAGATAAAACAAAATCCATTACAAGATATTACTTATAAATTAATTTTGAAAATGTTAAATATGCTTCTCAACTATGTGTAAATGTTTTTAAATAAATTTATTAATAAAATGTTATTTCAAAAATATTAAAAAATATCTGAATATCTTTAATAATTTTTTATAGTCTCAAAACTGATAACAACTATTATTGAATACATGTTAACTTATTAAATACAAAAATATACATGTCTATATTAATCTTATTTTTAATATAATAAGATTAAAAAAAATTGCAGAATAAAAAATTAAATATATTTATTCTATAGCTTTTACTTTAATCTAATTATTTGCTTATAATAATCAATTACTAATATTTGCTATTATCAAAATTAATAATGTATAATATATATAGTTCTTCTCAATAAATGAAGAACCACTTAAAAATTATTATAATTAATGAAAAATAGTTGGATTTTTTGATATTATTTTATTATCATTTTATGAATTTATTCATGAAATTATTATTTATTGAAAGAAATAGTGTCATAATTTAAGATAGTTGTATGTCAAAATTTTATGACCATAATATTAACTTGTAAATTCTTGTAAATTCTTTAAATTTCTATAGTTTTTATATGACAAATAATATTTGAAACAAAATATCTTGTTATTTTATTAGAAAAAAAGCTAGTTATTTCATCAAACTATAGACAAAATATCCATATAAAAATATTTTATAAGGTTATTAAAGCTAATTACTTAATATAATTTTATGTAATTTAGAAATTTCTATTCTAAACAAAACTATTATTTATTATCGATAAATAAGAAAAAATAATCATATAACTAAAAATAATATATAAGAATAGTCATTTTACTCTTTTGAAGAACAACACTATTATAGATTTCTTATAATTAAAATTATTATATTATCTGATTTTTATTTTTTTAATAAAATTATCTTTTTTAAAAAAAAAATACTAGCTGGGCCTTGCCTAGTATACTTTATTAGTTTGTGATATTTACATTAAAAGTTTATAGGTTTATATATCTAGATGTTATAACTTTACTTCTATCTATATATCAACTATATTAGAGTTTTTCAAATATTGGCTTTGAACTATTTGATTTATTTTCAAGTTTAAGCTAAAGAAAAGTGATCAAAAACTAATGTGTCAAAGCTTCATTAGTGTTAATAAATAGTATGTGTTCTGCATTCTACTTGTATTTTTTAAACTATTTCATTATTTTTTCTTCTATTTTATAGCTTTTTCTTCTTTTTCTTTTATACTTCGGCCTTTAATCTCTTTTTTTTTATTGTGATTTTTTTTCTGGTTTTTTTTCCTTTCTTCTGGATTGTAATAACATTTTCTTTTTCCTATTCTGCTACTTTGTTGCATCTGTGCTTTCACCATTCTTTAATTTTGCTTTTCATTTAGGTTATAATTATTTTACATATTTCTGTGACTTTTTCTTCCATTCTGTTTCTAATGTATTTGACTGTTTCTTTTATGAATACTGCTTTTGTAATTAGTGTTCTCATATATGCTAAGTCAATAATTCTGTATATATAATAGTATTGTTCTTTATGTTTTCTTTTTTTTTCTCTGGCACTATATTCTTGTTTGATAATTTTGTTATATTTATTAGTGGTGTTCTCTTTCCAATATTTGTGTATCATATGCTGATATGTTTCTGTTTTGATATTTCAAATTGAATATGTTGCTGTTTTGTAGACTGCAGATCTATAATGTGCTAGTTCGTCAAGTGTTAAAAGTTCTTATTGAATATTTTGTATCAAAAGTTTTTACTTATATTGTCTTGTTTATTCATTTTATTACTTGTTATTGTATTAATTTTTGTGTTTTATATATTGTTTTCCAGTCTATTTCATTCTTTCTACTGTCTATTTATATCATATATTTATTTTAAATTAGTTATCTTGCTAGCTATTATGTACTTTGTTATTTTTTTATAAAGTTATTGATATTTGTATTAAGGGTTGTGTCTTTTTATATAATATTATAGTGTATATAGTTTATTGCCTAGTTTATTTTGATTTCTTGTTTTTTTTATTTTGTGTTCTTTTTTTTTGTTAATTTGTCTACTATTGGCCTATATCATTTCTACCTCAGGAGAAAGATAAAGATGGAGAACTAGTAGCAGGGAGGCACTTTAAATGGACAGGGCCAATGTGGTATGCTAAAGTTCCTAGAGGCGTACAAATTAGTACAGTTCTGAGGTGTATGAGGTCAG